TGTTTTTTTAGTAGTAGAACAGGGACATTTTGTTCAGGATCTCTGAGAATGAGTCAACTACAAGGTATTCCCACTAGTCACATGCTTCAGAACTGTTACAGCAACTTTCTGTACCATATAATGCTGCATATTCCAAAATCAATACTGAGAACCATCGAGAATGCTGAAAAGCACCTGTCTGAGTAATGAGCAACAAAATAATTAAATGTGGCATATGTTTCCATCTTAATTTCATTAGCCATCATGTGCAGCTCAATACAAATGCTATTATCTTGTTCCTGACAGATCTCGACCCTTAATTAAAGTACACTATTAATCCTGGCTGGAAATCCCTGAACCGCGAGGAGAGCTACCATAATCAACTGACTCACTATACCACTGCAGCCCTTTGTTACTGACAACTCCTATCTAATTCATTATTCATAGCAGTGTTCTGTGTGCACCAATAACCTAGGTGACAATCTACAGATCTGGTGACTTATTCCTGTCTCAAAAGCAATGACTCAAAATCAATTTGTAAAGGCTTATCTAGTACAGTGTGCTGTTGATTCATCCTGACACAACTCATCACAGCATCACTTCACTACTGAGGTCACTCTATTATTAGGACGTGTTCTGGAATTGTCCAATCAATATAACTTGTTTGACTCATCATTTCATGAGCAATTCAGACATCAACACTTGGTTTCAAAATATCCAGATAAATCTAAATACCACTGAAATTAATTCACTATCACTATTACTCTTCGGTTCAAAACCCTATTATTTCTTAATCTCGAAATAACTTCATATGAATTTCCTCACCTTTCCTATCTCTAACAAGAATCACTTTGTCCTCTAAGTACCACACAAATAAGACCAGTAAACACTTAAATATGATAGCTACATAATTAAGGAAAATACCCATATGCTCAACTTTATTAAAAAAGAACACCTCAAAAGCCGAATTTGAGTTTCAAATTCAAATCTTATAGCAAATTCCACACTGAATCGATGAGTTACTATTCAATTAGCCTCCAGTCAACATTGTTATGGAGACAGCTGGGGCCCTGCTTATTGTCTGTGTACTACACAAAGGGGAGTGGGGGTGGGAACCAGCAGATGGGGAAGGAGCACTACTGACTGTCTACCACCTAGAAGATGTTCACAGAATTATCCTACAATACTGGAAATGGTTATAAGATTGCATACAAATGCTAGGAGGTAACAATTACCTGTAGGTTTGTCTCTGATGAGTTTGCAGCTCTCAACCTCCCCAATACTAGAAAACAGCGATCGTATATCCTCCTGTGTCATTGTCTGTGGCAAGTAATTCACAATCAAGTTTGTTTTACTGAGATCATCCGAGTGCGAATCTGTGGGTGAGGTAGTACCACCATTTGTTACTTGTGTATGGGCGGCCACCCCAACCTGGGATTGTGGGTCCATCATGCTGTGGCCGTCAGCTAGTGTGATCTGAAAACATGATACAAATATTCATTTTTCAGTTCTTTCTTAATAAACTAACATAACATTTCCTGATGGCGTTTATGACAATTTTAAGGCCAGATTTGGAATGTAATATCCATCAATACACGCATTAAAAATTATCCATTTCATGAATTTTTCTTTCTCATGATATTCTCAAGTTGTATGAAACATGGAACTTAGGGAATCCTGCCAGTAAAATAGAAAAATAGTTGAACTTTACAAATCCTCAGCATAAACATCAAAAATACCAAATCATACACTATGTGCTTAGTAGATTTTTTCCACTTGGGATGAATCAGTCAAATACTTTGTGGGCAACATTACATATGTAATAATCTGACTACTGGACAATTGTTAACCTTAATACAGTAGATATTACAAATATTATACACATTTACTGGCAGCTTGTAGGAAGAATAAAATGGCCTTCATTTACAGAGCCCATACACAGCACTCCTTAAACAGCACAGCATTTTTTGGCTGGCTCAAATACCATAGTGGGTCAGATCGACAATTTAATTAGTCAAAATAGACATGTCTAAAGATACCATTAAACAGAAATATCAAGCCAATCCATGGCAACACTGTATCATGGCAGCCCCGAAGAAAAATCAATGCTGTTTATGGTCTCTACATCAGTGAAACTGCTTCCATTTCTTTGTTACAATCAGATTCACCAGCTCCTTAGCATCAGCAAATACACCAAACTAACAAATGTGATATGATTCTATCTTACACATACTTACCATACAAGGGTTACACAAAGGATAGCTAGACTGATTGCAGTTTTGTGCCATTATTGCAGATGGATCAAGGTCCTTTGTTCTCGGCTGTGCCACTATTTCACATTCAATAGCAAGCTAACGGTTTAGCACCACTGAAGCAGACGGAGAGAAAAACATCGACTTTAACAGAAGGCAACAACAAAAGTACATACCTGCATTGAGAATATCCTAAAATAACTGAGAGAACAAAAAGGGAAAAAAGGTCCGAGAAGACTACTAGCTGTGTGCACAGTAGCAGTCAACTGTATGAATGACAGGCTTCACTGCCTGACCTCAACATAAATAGCAGCTCGAGAGGGAGAAAATTAATACTGATGTGCTGCTAGCCAATCAAATTGTTCCTAGATAAAGCCAGCTTCTGTTGAGGGGGACTACGCCAAATGTCTCTCTGGGTGTCAGTGATTGTGGTACTTGAACAGAAGGGCTCTACCACTTTGACTTTATTGGTTAACAGTTTACAGTAATATTTGAATATTCACATGATATGTAAAGCTTGACAAAGAGCAGCGGTTGGTCAGATAGAAGAGGCCTCCTCACACTGATTGCATCATAGACATTGGACCACTTTCATCATCGTTAATGTTATTTAGGAGTTAAAGACATTATCATGAACTTTGTCTCATGCTCAACATGTGTACTCCGTCCTTAACGTGTACGCTACTTGCAGGCATAACATTCAACATAGACATGTACTGGGGTATCATCACTAGTATGGCATACTCTTGTTCAAAGGTAAAAGTGTTGGTATTTGGAAAATATCAGGTATATTTTTAGCAATTTGGCTGCCAAAGTCTGAATATTCTTGTGATATTTGAAAGTTCTCATGTTCCTAAACCATTCATTATTCTATTTTTTTACAATCCTTCATCCTTTGATGCCTCTTAAAATAAATGTTAAAGGGGGACGGACCATTTAAGAAGATAAATATGGTATACAGAAATAATGTTCTGTACAAGACTGACACAAAGCAACATTATAAAGAGAGCAGTTGCATACTTTGCTTACAAATAACAGTGATTCCACACAGGACTATGTGTTAATAATAGGAAGTCAACAAATTGTTTAAATCTACTCTACACTGAGGCTAATATATTTCGAACGCTACAAAATCGCATCGAAAATAGTCACTATTACAATGACAGACCACGCATGATCATGTGAGGTGTGAACAGCTGGCGCTTTCAAACAACAGGTCAAGTTACAATTTGGATACAACGAAAAGATGTAGGCCTGCATAGGTTATATTGAGCAGATACATGTTGGACGGTATTTTATGAGATTCTGTACTTATGGCCCACCTGTAAATTTGGAAATAGAATTAAATGCATTTCAATGTCATTTTACGATATCCAGGTACAGACGACCAGTAGTAAATAAACAATAAGCAGACATCAGGGCAAGATAGCCGTCATGCACGGGCAAGCTACATGAAAGCCATGCCGCTTTGTTGTCATCAGGCTCGTGCCGAGCTAGGCTCCCACGTGCCGCCGACCCCAATATTTGGCAGGTGGCACGCGATAGCCTCGCTCACACCTCTCTGTTCCCGTTAGCTAGTAGCCGCGAAATTTTGACAAGTAAGGTGTGGACAGAATGGCCGTTCATCACCTGCAGTCATAACATCAATTAAACTAGGTTATGTCTACGTTCCCAAATCACTGGTAATATAGATTTCGGTGGCTGGTAGCGTTTAGGGAACACGATCATGGGCTGTGGAACACAGCAGACGTATGAAGGAAACATCATCTGCTAGGCGGCGAAGGCCCATGTGTTCATCGCGTGTCGTACTCAAGTGTTACACACGTTAGATAAACAGTTTATGACAACGGTACATGGAATTTCACCTACCTTAGAAATGTATAATCCTTGTATTATATCGGAGTTTGTGCAATAAAATAACAGCAGTCTCGATGTGCGCGTGAACGCACTTTGGAAGATGTGAAATATTGGCGGCTTTGGCTCCGTGAAGAAAATACTCCAGTTTTGTTACAAAATGATATTCAAAGAATGACAGTTTCTTCAAATTGAAATTTAACACTTCTACATCAAACAAGATAAATTAAATTTAAGAAAATGTCACTGAAATAAATTGAAAACGTAACCAAATTTCCACACCACAGCTACTAACAAGAACATAACCAGCAAAGATCGGTCTGTTACTACATGGCGCATTTATACTACGTCACTGAGATCGATCTGTCAATAAAAATGAATTGTGTAACTTTGGGCTACACTACCTATTTTTGTTATATTATGCAATGAGACATTTTCTATCAGTCGTGTAAAGACATAAACAACAACTTAACTTACTATGCACACAATAAATTACGAGTTAGTTATTGGGACTATTTTATTCAGCGGCGTGATATAAACAAGTGCGAGCCGTTAAGGTGGCGGGAATACTCATGGGAATAGTGGTGGCGGTAGAATTTTATGTATGGGGGCTAATGTTTTATTGATCTGTTCGGCATAATATGAAGTTCCTTCTTTCAGATCTACGGGAATTCATACACCGTGCTAATTCAAATTAAAGCACAGACATTTTATGCACGGCTGCCGGGTCCGTCTTTCTTGACGTCACACTCAAATCATTGAATTCTAAATCCAGTTTCTAGTCACTTGACAGAACAGTTTAAACGCTCGAAGCACCGATTGGACAGTTTTTTACTGATTAATGCATTAGCCAATGGAAACCCCAGAACGGTAAACCAGTTCCGTTATTAGTCGCGCATGCCCACATAGCTTAAAATAACCAACATGGCTGACAAGCGAGGGGATTCAGGTTTGTTTACAGTTGCCTAGTACCGCCTGCTTGGGGTTCTACTGACGTTTGACCGAATTTAAAGTGCATGAATTGTTGAATATCGATGTGCAATAATTGACAATTTTCCAAATTCTAAAATCTATGTATGCAATGATTTACAATTCAAATATAAAATAAATTATTTCTGGGAACGATGTCATTTGATAATTTGTTGTGATAATGACGTTGGGAACAGATAATGGAAAATTAAAACAAAATTATATGCAAAAGTGAAAAAACTGCAGTCGTGTGCATGTAATTTTAATCATTACTCTTGTGGGTTTAAGCGATGGGAAAATGTGGACCAGCACATTATGCATTATTGTGACATTTGTTATCATAAAATAAGGAATATCTTATAATGAAGACTAAAACCACTACCAAAATCGGCTATACCGGCTACAAATTAATTGGAAAGTAAAGAGTCACCAGTATTAAAAACAACCGGATTTCACTTCCGTAATAAGCTTCAATGAAAGTAGTTTGCAACTAAGGTGTACACATCACTGGTTTATGACCGAAGAAGAGCATGAAATAATTCAGTTATAATATCAGTATTTTGAAAAATAATATTAGTATGTTATAAAGCTCTTAATGGAAATATCATCATAAGAATGTATGTAAAATATACAGGTAGATTATTTATGTGCATACATTTTGATACAGGTAAATCATTCTATGTGCATACATTTTATCTGAGCATAATTGATGATAATTTTGTAATTGAAAGGTTTGTATATGTTGTTGACTAGGAAGTGATTCTGATAGCACTGAAGAACCAGTTGTCGGAAATGTCAACAAATTTGCAGTTGTCCCACCAGGCTACAGTGGTAAACCAAAGAAAGGACATCTCATATTTGATGCATGTTTTGAAAGTGGTAAGCCCCCTTCTTTCAATACTTGCACTATTTTGAGTATTGTGGTGGTACATTTGTCACAATGCCATACATTTATGATCATCGCTAATAACATTGTGATATTATGTACAATATGATTAAAAAAAGCTTGGCACATGGCAAGTTTTGAAATGGCAGGTCAAATGACACATTGCTAAAAAATATCTGTCCATTTCAACTACTCTCACAAGCAACAGACTTCCTGTGTTAAGTTAGAGACAGATGTTGATAATGTCACATGTGAAAGAAAACTACCGTTCCAAATGGTCAGTAAATAAAGCCTAAAAGGATGTATGTTAAGAGGTATGTCCCATCATCAGAAATATTGAAAAGAAATACAATTAATCCATATTTAGTAGACATAAGTTATATGATAAAATAATGGTTCAAACCCTTCTCATACATACTGACTGGAAATAATATTTCGTTAGTTTTGCAGTTAAGTTTAATACAGCATTAATGGTCACCTTTATATAATAATGTACATGCACATTTGTTATGGATGCATGACTTTCTGATATAATGGCAGAGATTATTGTGAGACATAAAATGTTTTTACACAGCAGGGGCGATGGGGTAGTCTAGTGGTTAGAGCCTTTGCTGGCCATGCCAAAGACCCGGGTTCAATTCCCCACATGGGTGCAATGTGTGAAACCCATTTCTGGTGTCCCCGGCATGATATTGCTGGAATATTGCTGAAAACCTTACTCTTTGCACAGCAATATTTTGCAATATTTGTTCATTATGATGTATTGCATTCTATTGTAAAGTCATATATCAATATTAAGAGGAGTTGTAATTAAAACAAATTAATCATAAAATACTACTACATCACTACAGACTGTTCAGGAGCCATGGTTTGCTTGACTTGGGTTTGCTAAATTTGTTTTTTGTAACTAAGCATTCTTTCTGATGAAGGATTAGGCCTCCTGTTAAGTACTTTTCATATGATAACCCTATTATCAGTACACATATCATATTGTGTTAAAGTGTATCGTTATGGTTCTGTTTATAATGACTATAGACAGTACATACAACATGTGTGACCAGTCATAATCAGTGTAGCCATATGGTTTTCATGGTAGTTGTTGCTAACAGTCGTCTAAAGACCTATTCATCTGAATAAGTGGACTAATTTTTATTGGCCCCCTTAGGGAATGAAGGAGAAATGAGTTGTTCACACTTCATTTCTTGTCAAAGGAATGAGGTGTCATACGCTATGGAAGCAAAACTGAAATGAGGCCAGTAACGACTAAATATGGTCAAGAATTAATTGGCTAATTAATCTCATTCAATTTTCATGCTTAGACAATTTGATATTTATTTGGGTATCCAATCACAAATTGTGATCAATCATCACATCAGGTGACTACTAATGATTATTGATGGATAACATTTTTTTGTTACCCCATGAAATAATGGAGTTAACAAAGAAAGAACGTCTGTTTATACATTTGTACAGTCAGTGAGTGTATACACTGCATTTTAAATATACTTCATGCTAAAGTCGAAACATGGTCTTATTTTAGAAGTTTTGAACCAACACTTGATCTTGAGTTGATTTTTGTCTATGGGACATTTTATGAATTTTAGCAAATATTATTAAGACATATTTCTATTTCATTATCAAATTTTACAAAATGCTTTAGGACATTGTCTGTGACGTTCAGTAACTCTATTAGAGAAAACACCAATTTGGAGTCCTGTATATTGAAGGGCTCGTTGCCAACATAAGACTTTATTTCAAATAGGGTGTCTCCACTGAAGGAAATTGAATATTGTTGCTTGCTTAGTGCCTCACTTGTCATGTTGTGTCAAATTGTGTTCAGTGTGAAAACAGGAAAGGTTTGATCTGTTCCCCAAGTATATGATTGAAATGTTTGCATCCTTGTCATTTTGATAAATGTAATTTCATGCAAAATTAGTGTACACTGAACAATTTCTAACTGCACTCACCATGAGCATGTAGTGAGAAGTATTCTTTTGAAGTTTTTATCCGGCCCTTGTGATTAGGGGTTCGCAGCCCTTTTGACTTTCTTGCGGCCCTTTTAACTTTTCAGTTTGGGAACCCTTTTGTCATGCAGCCCTTTTGACCTGTTCCCTTCTCACAGTACAAGTGTATATGTTGTCAATGTGTCGTCATCATAATCATCATAATCATCATCATCAACTACCACTGTCAGATCTATCATTCCAACTATATCACAGTGGTCTATATGCAATAATTTTAGTGCCATCCAATAACATAAGCACACCGAAGCTACCCCATCAGTATATCAGGGCTTGTAACACATTAGAATCGGATAGGAGTCCATATAGTGTATTTGAGTTAGTATCTCAGTAGGCCAGCAATGTTAGGAATAATGCACATTCAATAAAGTATAAAGTTAATATTATTAAAAGCAAGAAACAGTATCTTGAATAATATGAACTGTCTTCAACTTAAGCCACTAGTTTGAAGCCTGAATTCTGTAACATTCTGTTTGGTCTAAATACTCCATATAATAACTCTGAAATATACTGAAAGTGATTCTAAGAGACAAGTTTGTATTTGTTTACAGGTTAAATATCAAGTGTTTATCCTGTCTCTAGATGTACAATGTTATCAACTGTTCTCCATTAAGGTGAAGATGTAAGGGTCCACAACTTCCTTCTTCCTTCCAACATGGAGAGAATATCCTGTAGAGTACTCAGATTCAACAACCAACAACAGCAACTTGAGAAAAATCTGTTTTGGTTTTCCATCAGAATATAACAATACAAGATTCTCACCACTGATGAAATAAATCTCCCTTGGCATTAGGAAATGATGAACTTTCCTGCTTTTTGTTAGAATTTTATGTTCAGACTTCTGATATACTATTGATCCGATGTTCGAAAGCAAATAGTAATTTTGCATCTCAGCATTTTCTTTACATCACATCAGGGTTTTTTCTTTTGTGATTGCGAGTGTGGTATTAAAATCTTGCAGATGTCATTTAAAAATTGGGCTTGATATTTATTTCTTTAATGCAGTGTATCATTTTTTATGTGTACAATAGGTTCAAAGATATATCCATTACTTATAAACAAATGAATTCATAGGATTTTGTTTTAGGACTTTTATACAGATTAAGGTTTGGAAGTTATTGAATTGGTTTCAGATAGTTCCTTTTAAGACTGAGAGGTGATGGAGACATCTGTCTGCTGAGATGTTTTTAATGCAAACCTCAACTCGATTCTGGGTTAGAACTGGTGCCCAGTATACTGTACTTGACTTGAGACTGAAATTGATCAGGTGGTCACTGTGACATTGCTGATGGTACACTAATATATAGAAGTTAAAAAACAACATATTTTTTCATGTTGCAGTAGTTAATCTGTCACAGCCAGACTGTGGTAATGTAGAAGAATGAGGTTTTCTTATCTGCTTTTGAACTGTACATGTCATGATGCCTCTTTGGTGAGGCAGACTTGGTCTCGTCGCTATATGGCTGAGATAATGCCGATGCAACCTAAAACTCAACTCAACTCAACTCTTTGGTGAGGGTTGTTGCACTGGTTATGTTAGTAAGATTTAGGCTTCTAGATTCTTCAAGATATTTTTATGGATTAAACTTCTTTTGGCCTACCTTTAGAATACAGCACCACAAACTTTAAAAATACGTCATAATACCCTTTTACGTAATGTAATGTGATTTTGTTCGAACGCACGTTCTCGAAACAATGCCCTATGACGCCTGCATGGCAGCACGGTTGTCTAGCTCTGCGAGTGCGTATAAGCTCCGCTCACTGGTGTTTTATCTCTACAAAGCTATGTCATTGCATAAGCCCAACGATGTTGAGAGTTTCCAGTAGTTGTATACCGGCGGATGCGTAATTTGTTGCAAGCACCAGGTTGAAATATTTTTCTTTTTTCACTTATACGCTCATATTTATTTGTATTACGGGGTGCCGAGGTGTTATGTTTTGTGTATTATTGTATTTTGTATTTTTTAATTTTAGCGAGAATGCGTTACACCGGTCTATATTATATATATTCGATTATTCGCAATTTTGGTCAATGTAATTATTTAAATTATGTAAATATATTTTATATTTCAGTTTCTAAGTAACTATTAAGTCTAAATGATTTACCAATGTGAACTGACATACATATATTTATTTTTTTCATTCAGTAATGTGCACCATTACATAGAAACGTTGTTTATTAGTATTTTATTTTTCGAAGTGGTAAAAATGCATTACACTGGACACGTCAGTCATGTTTGTGCCGGTTCGGTCAATGCATTCTATTTATTAGGATTATTTCAAGGGGTTAGGGTTAGGGCTGAGGGTTTAGGGGTTAGGGTTAGGGGCCTAATCCAATATAGTAGTTACATGTCCGGTGTAATACGTGAGTACCATTTGTTTTTTTTGCATTTTAATACTGCTGGTTCGGTCAATGCATTCTATTTATTAGGATTATTTCAAGGGGTTAGGGTTTAGGGTTAGGGACCTAATCCAATATAGTTGGTCCGTGTAGTAATACGTGAGTACCATGTGTTGTTTTTCCTTCTTGCATTTTAATACTTTTTTTTTCACACAAAAACCGGAAACCAAAAACGTCGAAAGTACACTATGAAATGGTTTAATGTAGAAATTTTGGGCTAATGGAAATTGGCCTGGAATTTGCACTCAAGCCTCTTTCACACGCAACATAAATTTTGTTCAGTAATGATTCGAAGGCTAACTCACCCTCGTGCCGTCACTACACATGCTCATGTCTCCCTCGTTCCTTAGTGCGATCCACATTACATTACAGTATTCCCTACATCACTTTTCTGTCACAAAATCACCGATTTATATAAAAGCGCGTCATTCATGCATGCACCGTGAAATCTACGCCTGACATCAACAACCCTTTTCAGTTTGAGGCATATCGGCTCATTCCATGCCACACGTTATCTTGCAGATTACAGAATGGGACGAGTGTGCCAAATGGCATCGGATCAATTCGGCAATTGTCCGTAGATAAAAATCACGAGACACCAAGTCTACCGTAACCTTCGCAATTTTCCATGACCTATTCAACTCTTTCTGTTCATTTCCGTGACGTTACAGGAATGACTCGATAAATTTGCACATTGTGCAACAATGTGGACGTAGCTCAGTCGGTTAGCTGTCGAGCTAACAATCCGAAGGTCGCGGGTTCGCGTCCTCCGGGTTCTCACAAACTGGTTGCTTGTCTTAATGACACGTGACCTACGACAGAGATCGTCCTCACGAGAAGTTGTGGTGCTGTATTCTAAAGGTGCTCCGCATTTGATTATGAGGTAGATATTGCATTAAGGATCCCTGAGTTAAAATTAATCTTTTGTGGTTTTTTATATCAAGCAACTTGATTCGTAGCATATCGATGGCAGAACAATAGCGGAGATCGCCTTGTTGTCATTTGGAATGCTTCTCATGGATTTTCTCGCATTTTCACGCTATAAACGGGAATTGTAATGGCCAATCTAAAACATATAACAATCGGAAACGTAAGACGATAGGATACTTGATGATCCAAAGACGCTGCAAATGTAAGTAACTTGCTAGCGTTAACAATTGACACATGCTGACAACATCCCGGAAGTTAGTTCGCTAACGTAGGTATTTGACTATGAAATGACTGTCCAAACGATTATAATCAATCGATTATCAATCTGACACTAGCGATTATCGATCTGACAAAATGTAACGATAACCAGCTCTAGTCGTCACTATGATGAAGGGACATCAGTTCACCTGATGAAGGGACCTGGAATGGTCCCGAAACGTCGTGAGGGAAATTAAAAGAAGTTTAATCCATAAAATATCTTGGACATCTATGTACAACTTCTAAATGCCACTGAAAAACATTCTAGATTCTTGATATAACTAAGCATTCAGAACAGCATATCTGTTTCCTCTATCTTGAGATTGACCATCTGAGAATGTAATGTTTTCAGGCTGCTCCATCATATTATTGTGGATATTTTTATACACCCTGGTATTTCTGAGCATGATAATGTTGACACCCAGAGGGTGGACCTTGAAAGGAATGAATGTGTTCTCTGTTGTTGGTTGTTGTTTTTTGTTTTTTCTTATTCAAGGTTGTAAAGAAATGAATCTTTAAAGATTTTAGAAAGCTGAAAACTCTTTGACAAAAAAACATACATCCTTCATTAAGATTAAGACAAAGTATGCTGAGCAAACACCTGACCAAAATTCCTTGGGAGGTGTCCTCAGTTCTGCATGCAGATAGGTGTCAGGTCAGCAGCATCATGGTAGTAGGTGTGATTATGATGAGATTGATGGTCATGATAAAAATATGACAATTTCACTTACTCAACAGTAAGAGTGCATCATCACCATGCAAAGCGCTAAGATTTATGTTTCATAGATGTTTGGATAGAGACAAATGAAATATGGATTTAATTGTGTGAAAGTACAGGTCAATTTAACACTCCTGTGTTATCATTTTGGTTTTCCAGATGTGTATTGTTTAGTTTGTGTCTCTGTACAGTTGGTGAACTGTTTTCAGGAAATCTGGGGCGGGTAGATTACATCACAGAGCATGAGTATGACTTGTTTATACGACCAGACACCTGCAACCCACGGTTCCGAGTTTGGTTCAACTTTACCGTGGAGAATGTGAGGTCAGACCAGGTGAGACAGTAGGGTCTGGGAACTGTATATTTCCAGGGTAAAGGGTTGTCTACTTGACTAAAGCACTTCAGTTTGCTGCACAGGGTTGCATATTATGAAAATCTATGATTGTGGGTTCGAATCCCAAATTGGTCTCCCTCTGTCGCTTGGATTATTAGGACCAGCCCATGCTCACGTCAGTCTGATGCTGGCAGAAACCTTAAGTGATAGAGGTTAAGTGTTTAACACAATTGTGAAATCACACATCATCACAAAACTGGGATTTGAACCCATGATCATCGGTTTCTTGCTTAGTGACTTTTGCCAAATTAAGTGACTGTGTCATCTGTGCCCTGAAGTTAGACTTCTGTCATTACATAACTGTCATCACATTGTGGGCATGTTTAATGGTGATGTTGGATGCGGTAATAACTAGCCGGCACTGAAACACAAGATACTACAGCTCCTGTGCCTTCATTTGCTCTGTTCCTCCGGCTGATTCTGTTTTTGCATGCCAACATTTCTGGCAGGAATTCGTTTTTTCATTTCAGCGTGTTATCTTCAACATTGTCAACTTCAGTAAGACCAAGTCCCTGTATCGGGATGGAATGTCACCTCTTGTCAAATCAACTAGCAGGCCGAAGTGGTAAGTGTATGACAAACATAATTATCTTACAGAATTGGCAGATTTCACGCAAGCAGCCTGTCAAAGGTCTTCTTACATGTTCAGCATGTGAAGCCCATTTCTCCATGTCTGATGTCCGCTGTCATGATATTGCTGGAATATTGCTATTGGCAGTATAGAACCTTACCCACTCTTAAACTTATGGGTTTATTATTCTGAACAAAGATCTTTTTCACTGAAAATGGTTTGATAATGTTTTTTATTTTTTAAAATTTTCAATATAGACTGCTTAAGTAGTGTAGTGGATAGAGTGTCTGGAAAGTAGAAATGTTGTGGTTCAGTCCCCTGTCTCTGTCATACCAGTAGATGTTAAAAGATGGTACTTATTATTACCCTGACTGGTGTTTGGCATGAATGTGATAAAACAATTTTATGAAGTTTCATCATTCATGTAATAATGTGTAATTTGATATAAATATGAATGTTCATTGTTTTCTGTGTGGAGTTTATGAGTTGACCTTGTTATTGCCTCTGACATTCTCATTTCCATTTGAATTTGTTATCTTGCTGTGATTTGTTCTTGTAGTGCTGTATTTGTTATCTTGTATGGTGCATTTCCATTTGTTTGTAGTGCATGGTGTTTGCATTTGTTATCTTGTTATCTTGTAGTGCTGTGCTGTATTTGTTATCTTGTAGTGCTGTATTTGCTGTATTTGTTATCTTGTAGTGCTGTATTTGTTATCTTGTTGTGCTGAATTTGTTATCTTGTAGTGCTGTATTTGTTATCTTGTAGTGCTGAATTCGTTATCTTGTAGTGCTGTATTTGTTATCTTGTAGTGCTGTATTTGGACATGTTATGACTTTGATACTGCAATATTTTTGTAAATATCTTTGGCTGGAGTTCAGTCTAGTACTCTCAGCAAAAAATAGTTAAAAGAAGTACTGGAAATTATGGTTTATTACCGGGAAGTAGACATTTGTGATGTTTGTAACAACAAATAAGGGCGGCACGCAGGGATTTTCAGACTGACTGCATTTGGAGAACAATGGATATAATTTGTGATGATAAGCATACGGGTAACACTAAATTCACAAATGGAAAATAAAAGAAATTGTACAACGAAGTGATATACATAAAATATGCCAGATTTTAGATAATATTTTACTTTATTAATGATATGGCAACAAAACAAAATGTAATTTAATTGAATGGACATCTTAGCACAAATTATCTTAATCATGTTATTTTATACTCACTATTTCATAATACAAGTACACATCCAGTCTTCACTGTAGTTTCAATACATATGAAGCTGCGTCTCCTACGCACGTAAGTACACTAAGTGTACCTGCAGACAAATCATCCTTCACAACATACTCACTGCCCAACATGGCGGCAGGTAAGATCGCTTGGCGATTATTCCTCTCGAATTAGCAGCCTTCCACGTGTATTCAATCAACATTATTTAGTACACTGATAAACTTTGATGGTGGATATACATTCAGTGCACTGAATTTGCTTATTAATGCCTATGTGTTGAAGAATAAGCATTTTTAAAATCGCGTGAGGATGTCGGTAACTCAAAGTCTGGATGTCGGTAACGTGCAATGAATGATGCTGGTAACTCATACTGTCTTGCTTTAGTCGGTAAATAGAAATTGTCGAGTTATGTTTAAACACAAAGGAGACATAAATATCAGTTCTTATGTTTTACACTGATGTGTACTGCTGCCACATTAACAGTATGAGCGACTTTTTCTGTGCACCGGAGAATTGTTGTGGCGTTTCATTGAACTTGAATGGATTAGATGTGTGTGCCCATTGTCCATTACGCTGAGAGCTTTTTCTCTCTCCTCCTAAATTCGGACATTTGACAAGCTGATTTCGTTGCAATATTGACGTTTAAAAGACATTTTACATTGTGCATTTATTGGGTAGGGCTGAATATACAAAGCTATATAGTCTGTCAACCTAAGTTTAAGGACTGCATATTTTGAACCTGCAGGTGTCTGTCACCTGTCAGACATCAATTGAACCCATGCCCAGACTGAGTTGATCAAAACAATCAGGAAAAAATAAAGATACTAGTAGTTATAAAGGTAACTTTTTTAATAGGCGATCACCGTGATATCAATAATAGGTTCCTGAGGTCACGGACAAACATGAGGGTACATGTAAACACTGTTACACTGAAACGAATAACAAAAAAACTATTGCATATTGCACCTGCAAGTGCCTGTCACCTGTTATACATTACAACAATTGAACCAATGCCCAGACTGAGTTGATCAAAACAATCACGAAAAAATAAAGATAGTTATATAGGCAACATTTTTAATAGGCGATCACCGTGATATTGATAATATGTTCCTGAGGTCACAGAGAAACATGATCATACATGTAAACACTTTTACACTGAAACGAATAACAAAATTAAAATATTGCCAAAATATGAAGTCCCTAAAGTTAAGTTGACAGACTATTCAGCTTTATAAATTCAGCCCCACTCAATAAATGCACGCTGTAAAATGTAATTTAACTGTCTACATTGCAACGAAATCAACATGTCAAATGTCCGAAATGAAGAGGGACAGAGAAAAAGCTTTCAGCGTAATGGACAATGGGCACACACATCTAAATCCATTCAAATTCAATAAAACGCCACATAAATAGTGTGATTAAACACACCCTGCTTACATGTAGCAGAAAAGTCGCTCATACTGTTAATGTACATGTAGCAGCAGTACACATCTGTGTAAAACATAAGAACTGATATTTGTGTCTCCTTTGTGTTTAAACATAACTCGACAATTTCTATTTACCGACTAAAGCAAGACAGTATGAGTTACCAGCATCATTCATTGCACGTTACCGACATCCAGACTTTGAGTTACCGACATCCTCACGCGATTTTAAAAATGCTTATTCTTCAACACATAGGCATTAATAAGCAAATTCAGTGCATTGAATGTATTTCCACCATCAAAGTTTATCAGTGTGCTAAATAGTGTTGATTGTATACACGTGGAAGGCTGCTAATTCGAGAGGAATAATCGCCACGCGATCTTACCTGCCACCATGCTGGGATGCTGGTAACGTGCGTTACCAGCATCACCTTAGGTACAGTGATACTGGACTAGGCGGATTTCATTCAGTTTCTGTTCTGACATAAGAAAAGACAACATCTCAAACACATTTGGATGAGCCTTAGATACGATCTTCTTAAGACGTCCATGCCACCCTTCCAGATGGTTGTTCATCCGTGGGCCGGTTGTCTCATGGTGGTTCCATGAGTGGACTGGCAGATCACCTTCAACCCAGAACGTCATATAGTCGGCAAGCTGAAGACAGCGAGGGTTGTATGGCATATCGGCGAGGGCGTTGAGCCATACGTCTTCAACCTATAAGCAAAAACAATCAAAACAATATTAGTTTATATATAAAATTCAGAAACGTGGAAATATTATTATCTTATTATTTAAGAAAATGGTAATGAGATATTTACGTTATTGACTGACACCAAAGGCAGTACAGCAGCACGCCGCACAAAACTGGTGATGTCTACGTCCTGATTGTAGATCGACTGCAAACCAACTGCCTGTGTCTTCTTCCAAATACACTGGGTGTAATGGAACAGGCAGCCTTTCCGGTCGGCGGTGGGGAAATTGGTCCTAGCGGCGTGAAGTCAGAATGAACGTATACTGTAACTGTTGGTTTGCCATAATGAGAGTGATGAATTTGAAAGTATGGACAGCATAATATATACCCAAATTGCTGAGTTTGTGTTCACTTATATTAATCAGTGTCAATCAATGTCAGTCAATGATTGTCAAGACAAACTAAGTGAGTTCATATCAACTTTATTGATTTCAATCATGTACGTGAAAAGGGGGTGAGTTTATATCACCTATTTCATTAGATAGTTCAGAATTTAGTATAACCCAGAAAGTTATTCCCTTCAAGCAACATGCACAGTCAGCCCCCCCAACATCAAAGGATTTTTACTGTAATAACAAATGTCTACTTCCCGGTAAACACCGAAATTATAAGAGACTTGTTTGGGCTAGTCATGGAAAGACTGATCAATACTTTGTTCTCAAATACTTTGATTTTTATACTGCCTGTTATTTCAACATTGTATAAGAAAAAAATTAAGTAAAGAAAATGTTGTAGGTCATATGCAGGAAAAGATATATATTTTTTCAAATCTGGTAAGGAATATATATTCATATTAACTGATCTGAACTTTTGTTTAATAGGTAAGTAAATAAATGATTTGTCTTTTCACAGGGTGAGAATCCCCGCCAAGCATGTATATTATTATCGCTGCCCTGACCATCGAAAGAATTATGTCATGTCCTTCGCTTTCAACTTTGACCGAGAGGATGATGTCTATCAGTTTGGCTATTGTTACCCATATTCCTACACCCGATTACAGAGCTACCTCGACAATCTCGAGAAGAGAAACTTGGACTTCTTCAGCAGGGAACTACTTTGTCTAACAGTGGTAAGTTGTTTACATGTTGTGACGGGATAGCCTAGGTTACACCAAGATATATTACCTTCCACATCAACAGTCTATCCATATCAAATGGGTGTAGTGATTGGAAAGTAGTGATGTTTCCTGTCATGTGCAAAGGCTTTTGCATGAGGTACAGCTTGCCTAACAACTGCTTGGGATGGCTGACTAAAGTGGAAACCTGTTGTAAGTGAAATGTTTGCAGGATGCAAGAAATATTGGCTGTGATGTCAAGAGATATTATTCTTAGAGTTAAACACAGTGACAACAAAGCTATTGTTGATTTCTGGTGTTGATGTTGCTGGAATATTTAAAAAAAAAATAAATAAATAAATAAAATATGCTAAATGATTAGATCACAGTAGATCAGCATAGAGAACTGTTAGTGATCCAATTCATTTTGTGATTCTAGAGTCACAGTACATCATATACCACAATAATTATGTTTTGTTGCTTTGCATGAGATTCCCCATGACAAGATCTACACGTTTGTGTTTAACTCACATTTAGGATTGTGTTATAACACTATACTGTGAGATATATCACCATGTTTCATGAGGGGTAGTAATCTAAAGAAGGCTGAGTTATAGAAACAACTTGGCGTGGTGGAAGGAAATCTTTTTCTTGCACTTTAGTAAGACTGTCCTTCTCCCAGACACTGGCAAATGCCCATTGTCACAGTCCAGCAGATGTCCAGTGGGTAGGGTTACACTTATGGCTATGTTGGGTTGTTGTCATTTATGTGTCCATTGATATAATGAATATTCACACTGGAGCCATGATAGCATTTACAATGATAGGAATTCGGAATGGGGAATTTTTGTCATATTCTATTATATTTCAAGAATAGTTTCTTTCATGACATGCTATTACAGGAAAAAAATAAATCTAAGACAAATAGTTCTTTCAGTGCTTATGCCCTACAGATGTGGCTGAACCTAGGGTGTCAGTATCCAATCTCTGAATAAGTCCACCAACAGGAGGATATGGTTGTTTTACACTGTCACCTGTGGTTGTGGAGCGTGTGATAACATGTGGTTTACAGTGACCAGACTGTACACGTGCCCAGTAAGTGTTGGAGCCTGGGAAGATCCATGTTAGAATTGGTCTTCTTGACCTATGTGTGTCAGAGGGGCGTTATGGTAGCCTAGTGGTTAAAAGTTTGCTCGTCACGAGGAAGACCTGGCTGCGATTCCCCACATGGGTACAATGTGTGAAGCCCATTTCTGGCGTCCTCTGCCGTGATATTGCTAAGATCGGCGTAAAACCATACTCACTCACTCACTATGTGTGTGTCATAAGATGTGACTAATGGGATCGGGTGGTCACGCCTGCTGACTTGGTTGATACATGTCATCATATCCAAGTTGAGTAGATCGAAGCTTATGATGTCAGTCACTGGGATGTCAGTCACCGACATTCAATTATTTACCAACCGCTGTCATATAGCTGGTATATTGTTTAGTGGGGCTATATACAACAAACAGAAAGTAAGTCTTTGTACCTAGTATGAGTGCTGTATTTTCACACATCAGTTACATAAGGTACATGAAGTGACAGGTGGGGAAACCCGTGAAGATCCAGGTTAGAATTGATCTTCAGTAACCCATGCTTGTCATAAGAGGCGACTAACGGGATTGAGTGGTCAGACTCGCTGACTTGGTTGACACATGTCATTGTGTCCCAATTGCATAAATCAATGCTCATGCTGTTGATCACTGGATTGTCTGGTCCTGACTCGATTATTTACAGACCACTGCCATATAGCTGGAATATTGCTGAGTGCGGCATTATACAACCAACCAACCCAAAGACAGGTAGGGGACCGAGAAAGTCTGCTAGCCAGAATGGTGTTTGAAACTTCCACAAATTTTCAAAGTCCTACCAGCCTCTCGGGATACCTTTAACATTAGTGAACATGGCTGAAGCTGTCCCAGAAACAACATCAGTTGTTGTGACAAACAGAATTGAAGAAATCGATCTATTGAAATTTACAACCGTTGTTTGTGTGCAAGTGTGCTTTGTGTTTTTTGGTTCTAGTCCAGAAATTCTGTAGATAATTGTTGATGGAATATAGCTCCAGGTGTCAAGTGCTTTGTCTTTTACTGTTTAACATACATCTTTAAAACAAGCAGTTTAAAACAATAATATATTGATAATGTATTAAAACTTAATAGAATTGTGTGCTTTGTTTCATATTCAACTATGGAAGGAGTAAAACAGTTTGTGTCATTCATGAGATCAATAACATTAGGCCATTCTGAATATACTATGTTTTCACCACTACCAAACATGCTACACATCATTTTCATGTTCCAAGTGCTGAAACTTGGCTATGAAAAACTTGATATACATTGTAATAACAAAAAACTTCATGCTTCATGTGAATCAGGTCGACATTTAATGTACCTGGAAAAGTATGTTTAAACAAAAAAAATAAAAATTTAATTGCTTCCTGTAACTAATTATGTGAATATTGGGATACAAATTGTAATATCTAGTTTATTGTGGTCTTATCAAACTGAATGATTTGTTGTGCTGCATTAGTTTGATGACATCTTCTTTTATATTTGAATCCTCAAACCAAATTTAGGTTTTTGCAATTATGTAAACAGCTCATGTATATATTGTATTTATGTTTAGATTCACATTCCTAAATAGGAACGCAGCACGTGTTGAGAATTGGCCACCATTTGCAATACAAGCATTTGTACCAGTGATGGAGTTTTGTCTGAAATCACTCGTCATGCAGGCACATGTGGTCAACTACTGATAATGGCATATTGAAATTTCTCTGCACAATAGCTTCCCAGTTTCACCAGGCCCAATAATCAATAATTTCTTTATTAATTCTATATCATGACCTTGGCTGGTTCTCTTGGAGATCACTCACTCATGACCTAAACAATGTGTGAAGGCTCCGTCGGTTTTGTGTCTTGTTTTGATTTTAAACAGATTTTATTGATTCATTAAGAAGCCAACTCATTAATCATGTGTGCGTTGAAGTTAACAAGTGAATAGTTTTTGTCAGTAGAATAAATTCAGAGTATTGAGGTACAGAATTGATTTTTGCTGTGTGGGAAAAAGGAATCATCAGGGTTATTTTGACTGGTAACATGCTGTTAAGTATTGTGATCTGTGTATTATGGTGTGGAGATATTTCAAGGTTGTTATTTATGTGATGTCTCAACCCAGCTGCAGCATGGTGCGACAACTTAGATTCAGAGTGGTTGTCAGTACTTGTAATTAATAACATGCTGATAGGTATATAGGTTTTGAAATCCTAAATGTTTGATAACAGTATTGGTTTTGATAATAGGTGATAGAATATTTGGAAATTGTTAGCATTCTTTTTTTTCACATAGACATCTCAAAATAGGGTAATTAGTCTCAGATTTTTTGTGGAAGTCATGTAGAAAATTAACATTACAATATTTGTGTATTTTAACATTACCATCCAATTGCTTCACTCTTGCAGGAATATTTAGTAGATAGCACATAGGCTACAAGGATGATTGATTATCTACCCCAAGGGAATCGATTTTGCAGGTTTTAAGCCAAGGGGCATTAAGTCATGATGGAAACAACCCTATATATGCACTTATTTTATATATTACCATGAATTACCTTTGTGCTATTTCATGAGAAATTGGATGAAGAATGCTGGCTTCAAGATAACCCAAAAAATGTTTGCTCGGTCAGATAATTATGACAGTAATGTCCCATGTAGATTATGCACAACGGAATCAACTTCTGTCATCCTGATTATTTGCTCCCGTATGTGGGGTACACTTAAACCATTTAGTCGATACAACACTCGGATACATGAACAGAGACCATATACCTTTGTATCGCGATATTGTAGCAGTTAGGAATAGATGTACCGTTGTGCAGAGGGAAGTAGGTGATGAATATACTATTCACAATTTGAATTTAAATATCCAAGCCTATTGTAAGCATGGATCCTTGCTTTCAGTATGTCATTGCATCTTCTGGATCCCATACCTGCTATTGACAGGTGTTGTGTACTTGTCAGTGACTCGTTCCTTGATTTGCAAAATGGTTGATTGGTGCCATGAAAACCATTTTTAAGGTTACTCATGTATCAAGTGCATACGGTTTGCTTTAAGTGGCTGTTTTCCTAAAGATGTGTTACTATATCATTATTTATCCAGTTTTAGATGGATACAATTTAAAATTTAAAATTTACGTTTAAGTAAAGTTGAGAATTTTTGTGATCCTTAGCAAAGTGTGAGTAGCATATATGAAGAAGGTAGCTCCCATAGTTTATGAGAAAGAGAAAACAAAAATGGACAAATTGGCATTTTTTGTATATATTTCCTTGTTACTGTTTTGAGAATCCTGGATCCTGTTCCACAAAGGAGTTATAGCATGGTGTGGGTTAGAAGGTCCATATGACTCCATTATAACATAGCCTCAGGACAGTCGTAGGGTTGCAATCACTTTGTGGAACGGCGACCTGAACAGTGTTTTTACAACTATTTCTAGAATTTGTTTAATCATCCCAGGCACAGAAAGCATCTAAGAATTCCCTGTTTGAATTATGTTGCACCAGTCAAAACAGGAAATTACCAGTAGATGGACACACAGTGACAAAACATTGCTGTGGGCTGTTATTGTAAACAGTCAAGCAATGGAACAATTGTAGACTTTCCTAGAAGTGACATTCCCATTACCCATCCCCTATGGGTAATACAGCAATGATAGAGTTGCTGTACATTGTCATGCATATTTACTGTGTTCCTCTGCTCTGTTGGTGAGAAACTCAAGCCAGTGAACATTGGCTTATGCATGGTCTTTGGTGGCATCTCTTCAATTCTGCCTTCTCAAACATCTGTCACCTGTCTGCTTGGTCTTTGAAGTTGCAACTTAAAACTTCAGTGTGATTAAGTTGTTGCATGTAGGAACAAGTCACTTCAACTGCCACTATTGCATGTAGGAACCAGTCCCTACAGCTGCCACTATTGCATGCAGGAACCAGTCACTACAGCTGCCACTATTGCATGTAGGAACCAGTCACTACAGCTGCCACTATTGCATGTAGGAACCAGTCACTACAGCTGCCACTATTGCATGTAGGAACCAGTCACTACAGCTGCCACTATTGCATGTAGGAACCAGTCACTACAGCTGCCACTATTGCATGTAGGGAACCAGTCACTATTGCATGTAGGAACCACAGCTGCCACTATTGCATGTAGGAACCAGTCACTACAGCTGCAGACTATTGCATGTAGGAACCAGTCACTACAGCTGCCACTATTGCATGTAGGAACCAGTCACTACTAGGAACCAGTCACTACAGCTGCCACTATTGCATGTAGGAACCAGTCACTACAGCTGCAGACTATTGCATGTAGGAACAGTCACTACAGACACTATTGCATGTGCATGTACCAGGAACCAGTCACTACATGTAGGAACCAGTACAGACTAGATGCATGTAGGAACCAGTCACTACAGCTGCCACTATTGCATGTAGGAACCAGTCACTACAGCTGCCACTATTGCATGTAGGAACCAGTCACTACAGCTGCCACTATTGCATGTAGGAACCAGTCACTACAGCTGCAGACTATTGCATGTAGGAACCAGTCACTACAGCTGCAGACTATTGCATGTAGGAACCAGTCACTACAGCTGCCACTATTGCATGTAGGAACCAGTCACTACAGCTGCCACTATTGCATGTAGGAACCAGTCACCACAGCTGCCACTATTGCATGTAGGAACCAGTCACTACAGCTGCAGACTATTGCATGTAGGAACCAGTCACTACAGCTACAGACTATTGCATGTAGGAAGCAGTCACTGCTACAGACTATTGCATGTAGGAACCAGTCACTACAGCTGCCACTATTGCATGTAGGAACCAGTCACTACTGTTGCAGACTATTGCATGTAGGAACCAGTCACTACTGTTGCAGACTATTGCATGTAGGAACCAGTCACTACAGCTGCCACAGACTATTGCATGTAGGAACCAGTCACTACTGCTGCAGACTATTGCATGTAGGAACCAGTCACTACAGCTGCCACTATTGCATGTAGGAACCAGTCACTACAGCTGCCACTATTGCATGTAGGAACCAGTCACTACAGCTGCCACTATTGCATGTAGGAACCAGTCACTACAGCTACAGACTATTGCATGTAGGAAACATTCACTACTGCTGCAGACTATTGCATGTAGGAACCAGTAACTACAGCTGCCACTATTGCATGTAGGAACCAGTCACTACAGCTGCCACTATTGTGTGTAGGAACCAGTCACTACAGCTGCACACTGTTGCATGTAGGAACTAGTCACTACAGCTGCACACTATATACATTGCTTAATTAATAATTAAATGTTGAAATTGTCACAGTTTTTCTGCCTGCTAGTATAGCAATGGAATCTTGAATGTTGAAGCTCTTGTTTCGCAAACCCGGCCTGTAGGCAATTTCAAATAATTAATTCACTTCATGAAAAGGTCAAAATATGTGTCCTGGAATGAAAAAATCAAGTGTGACATCAGGTTTCAGACAAAACACAATGAATAAATGATTGCACTGCAAAATTCAATACGGTCAACACGGCTTTAGAACGGGTGTTTCGCTGTCACATACATTGACGTCATGTCTCTGTCATCACAATGTAAGTGAGTGAGTTTAGTTTTACGCCGCACTCAGCAATATTCTAGCTATATGGCGGCTGTCTGTAAATAATCGTGTCTGGAGCAGACAATCCAGTGATCAACAGCATGAACATCGATCTGCGCAGCTGGGAACCAATGACATATGTCAACCAAGTCAGCGAGCCTGACCACCCGATCCCGTTAGTCGCCTCTTACGACAAGCATGGGTTACTGAAGGCTCATTCTAACCCAGACCTTCACGGGTGTCATCACAATGTATGACACCAGTGTATCATGATAGTAGCGTTTTGACTCAACAAGGCCAGGTTTGCTTGTAGTTTTACTAAGGCCAGAGTTTTATTGTAGCATACTAAAGAGTGTTTGGTGTTATGGGTAAAGTTATGGTCTGAGTTGAGGCAAAACTCCTGCCATACATACATGAAACGATTTCAAGCATCAATATTCCAACATTAATCATGTTAAAAACATTGGACTCATGGCTACTGGTATTACGAAAGAGGTCTTTTTTTTCCCTCATGGCACTGCTTTTATTATTTAGAGATTTGGATCTATAGAAAGCATTAAATTTTGTACAAATTTATGGATTTTTTAGTATTTTGAATGATTTTGATTTTTAGAATTTTTGTCTAATGACATTGACCTTGCATGGATGCTGGTGATGCCAAGTAAATAAATGGCCATGGTACTTGTAGGAATTACATCAAAATCTTCTCCAGGAAAAGCTGGGTTCAAGAGAATACATTTGGTATTTTGGCAATAATCTTTGAAAGAACTAGGATGTTTAGAATTCATAGATGAATTAAGTTGTTTATAAATGATTAACAGTTTTCCAATTCTTAACAATCTACTTCAACCCATCCGGGCTAGGACTGGTCTTTAGTAGCCCATGTTTGTCATAAGAGGCGACTAACGGGATCGGGTGGTCATGCTCGCTGACTAGGTTGACACATGTCATCATATCCCAAGTGCGTAGAACGATGCTCATGATGTTGATCAGTGGATTGTGTGGTTATTTACCATATAGCTGGAATATTGCTGAGTGCAGCAATATACAACCAACCAACCAATCAGATGTTTTCTGTGATATATACACTGTGGTTACTAAAGGACAGACGATTCAAAGGGTTTTACAATCTTCAAGAGAATGTAAGGAAATGTTTGTGTCTGTAAGTTAAAAGTCATAGTTTGCAATACATTCAGCATGGAAAGGTCAGTAGATGTGTGTGTCTGAGGTGTGTTCCCCAGAGTCTGCTTGACCCCGTCTGACATGTTAATGACTCAAGCACACTGTTTAAAATACAAAAAAAATATTGCCAGACTGCCGTCAGTACTGATAGACTGTAGAAGATAGAACACCTGACTAAACTCATTAAAAATACTGCAGCTTCTGATTTAAGCTGTAAATTTTGAACTACGGGACTGAAGATGTACCCATCTCTTTTCCATGGGGTGTGTGGTGAATTGTCTGCTTCCCTCAAGTACATCTTGATCAACCTGTGAAGATCTGGGTTAGAACTAGCTTTCAGGAACCCATGCTTGTCGTAAGAGGCGTCTAACGTGATAGGGTGGTCAGGTTGTTTGACTTGGTTGGCACGTCATCGTATCCCAATTGTGTAGAACATTGCTCATGCTGTTGATCACTGGATTGTCTGGTGCAGACTTATTTACAGACCACAGCCATATAAACCTGGAATATTGCTATTCCAACAACCAAACCAAACATTTTGATCAGGAATAGGAGGTTGGTTGCTTCAGATGTATTGCAGCCTCCTCCAGTGTGTAAAAAGATGTTCCCAAAGTCGTGTCTTAATAGGACAAGAAGTAAAGATTGAGGTGGTACTTGGTTTCTTATGGTCAAATCTTGATAACCTGACGATTCAGGCCTGGGGGGATGCCAGACAGAGTTGGTCCCTCGGAGCTTGGTTTTAGTGTCAACTGAAATGGAGATAGGATGGTTACAGTGTGTGACCGGGCTTGGCCCAGACTTAATCATGGTTTGGCAGCAGTTACAAGGGTTGGGTATTGCTGGATATATTGCTGACTGCAACAGTAGGACACCATTATCTCTCTCACACCCTTTCAAGGACATCAACGTAAATCAGATCAATGATGTAGAAATCATTGAAGACTCAGTCTATCTGTGTCCCATAAGAAGGACTTTTGAAGCAGGGATTCCTGAGATTTTGTCTGAGTAGTTTGTTGTGTTGTTTCTGCAGCAACAGCGCCGACTTGACGTGCTGACCATCACCCACCCTGACAACCTGGAGCATGAAGGGGAGGAAAAGCAGAAGACCGTGTTCATCACCGCCCGTGTACACCCAGGGGAGACACCCTCATCCTTTGTATGTCAAGGTAAAACTAACTACTGGGCCACCCTGTCTTTTGTCACATCAAGATAACACTGGCTGGTGAGACTAATGTGACACTCCCTTGTATGTCAAGGTAACAGCATGGGGAGGCTCCTTTGTCTTTTGTGCTCAGACTGACTCTCTTGTCCATTATATGTCAAGATATATCTATCCACATTGACTCTTTTGTCCTTTGTATGTGGAGATATATCTGCCAAGGGAGACTTCCTCATCCCTTGAATGTCAAGATAGCACTGCCTGGTGAGACTCCCTTGTATGTCAAGATAGCACTGCCTAGTGGGACTCCTGTGAGACTCCCTTTTTTGTCAAGATAGCACTGTCTGGTGAGACTCCCTTGTATGTCAAGATAGCACTGCCTGGTGGGACTCCTGTGAGACTCCCTTGTATGTCAAGATAGCACTGCCTGGTGGGACTCCTGTGAGACTCCCTTGTATGTCAAGATAGCACTGTCTGGTGGGACTCCTGTGAGACTCCCTTGTATGTCAAGATAGCACTGTCTGGTGGGACTCCTGTGAGACTCCCTTGTATGTAACTGCCTGAGGGAGACTCCCTTGTATTTAACTGCCTGAGGGAGACTCCCTTGTATGTAACTGCCTGAGGGAGACTCCCTTGTATGTAACTGCCTGGGGAGACTCCCTTGTATGTAACTGCCTGAGGGAGACTCCCTTGTATGTAACTGCCTGGGGGAGACTCCCTTGTGTGTCAAGATAGCACTGCCTGGTGGGACTCCCTTGTGAGACTCCCTTGTATGTAACTGCCTGAGGGAGACTCCCTTGTATGTAACTGCCTGGGGAGACTCCCTTGTATGTAACTGCCTGAGGGAGACTCCCTTGTATGTAACTGCCTGGGAGAGACTCCCTTGTATGTAACTGCCTGGGGGAGACTCCCTTGTATGTAACTGCCTGGGAGACTCCCTTGTATGTAACTGCCTGGGGAGACTCCCTTGTGTGTGCCAGAGTATAGCACTGCCTGCCTGTATTTAACTGCCTGGGGAGACTCCCTTGTGTGTCAAGATAGCACTGCCTGGTGGGAGTGAGAGACTCCCTTGTAATGCCTGAGGGAGACTAACTGCCTGAGGGAGACTCCCTTGTATGTAACTGCCTGAGGGAGACTCCCTTGTATGTAACTGCCTGGGGAGACTCCCTTGTATGTAACTGCCTGGGGGAGACTCCCTTGTATGTAACTGCCTGAGGGAGACTCCCTTGTATGTAACTGCCTGAGGGAGACTCCCGTGTATGTCACTGCCTGAGCGAGACTCCTTCATCCATTGTATATTAAGGTAATCATATCAGCAACAAAATACTGCATGAAACTATACTCACTCACTTCTTCAAGCCAGTCAGCTGTTGCTGTGAACCTGAAGGAAAATGTCAGATTTGTAATTCTACTTCACCAGAAACCATTCATATTTGCAGGTGTGATAGACTTTCTGGTCAGCAACCATCCAATTGCCAAAATCTTGAGGGAACACATTGTGTTCAAGATTGTGCCAATGCTGAACCCTGATGGGGTGTTCCTTGGGAACTACAGGTAAAATTCCTAGATGAACTTAAACTTGCAGCTGATGCTGCTCTATGTTTGTAACCTAGTATATAGTATATATCTTAGTCTACAAACGTCTTAAAATAAGTAAACCCATGAAGATCCAGATTAGAATTGGTCTTCAACAACCCATGCTTGTCGTATAAGGCGACTAACGGGATCGAGTGGTCTGGCTCGCTGACTTGGTTGACTCATGTCATTGTATCTTAATTGCCTAGAATGATGCTCATGCTGTTGATCACTGGATTGTGTGGTCCAGACACGATTATTTACAAACCATCACCAATAGCTGTAATATTGCTGAGTGCAGCGTTAAACAACAAACCAATCATGTACAAACTTAACATAAGCATATGTAGCTTCTATAGTTCTCTGTTCTCTATTGACAACTACGTATTGAATTAAATCTAGTCATTTATCATTTTTGCACAGGTGCTCTCTGATGGGGTTTGATCTGAACCGCCACTGGCTAGAGCCGTCTCCGTGGGCCCACCCTACCCTGTATGCCACCAAGAACCTGCTGATGGAGCTGGACAGAAGTGATGTAAGTGTGACACTCAGTGGAGACTGTGGTCAGGTTGGTTTGTTGGTTAGTTGATTGGTAAACGCTGCACTCAGCAATATTCCAGCTATATGGCAGTGTTCTGTAAATAATCGAGTCTGCACCAGACAATCCAGTAAAGAACACCATGAGCATCGATCTATGCAACTGGAATACGATGACATGTGTCAACCAAGTCAGCGAGCCTGACCACCCGATCCCGTTAGTCGCCTCTTACAACAAGCATGGGTTCAGGGCTCCCACAGGTCAGGGAAATTTGGCTTTTCTCTGAACGTCAGGGAAAAGGCAGGGAATTTTGATATGTTTTCAAAAGTCAGGGAATTTCGGGTTTAAGTCAGGGAAATTGAGGGTTTTGGTCAGGGAAAAATAAGACTCAGAATGTCGCTAATCAGGCATGGCAGTAGTCAAAGTCAAAGATGCTTATTGTACTTAAGGGTTCTGGCCCATATACAGGCAATACAAGTATACATACAGCACATGTTACAGACATTTCATGAAATAAATTACAGTTCAGATAAGAGATTGCTTCTAAGCATAGCATGTTTTACATAAAGCCCTAGATTACATATTACATTTTCATTTTTGGAGGATAGCATGGAAACAAAGTCACTTGAAGGATATTTTTACAGATAATTATTTGGCTTGTATTGTTTTCTTAAATCAGCATAATGTGAATTTCATCTTCTACAGCTGGGTTCCATAACAGACATATTCTTCTATGAAGCACAATCGGTTGGATTTGTGAATCAAACAATATGAAACATATTTTCCGGGTTAAAATTCCAAAATTCTGGGAAACTGATATAAATTTAATAAGAGCCTTAGTAGCATGTGATTTCAGATTTATAACACTCTTTTTTATCCCCCGGCATGTAATGCAGGGGATATAGTCCCTCAGGCAGTTACATACATGGAAATGTTTTAGACTGAGTCTCAAAAGGGAGTGATGAGCTTCGTTTCCAGAGCACAACTCGAAAACCATTTAATATCTTTCAACAAAAATTGGCAGATATATCAAACAGAACCTAAAGTGTTGCCTTTTGCTGTTTACAGATTTTTGTCATATCTATTTTTCTTGGTTTCCATGGAAACGTTTTTGACTTTGTCTAAAAAAATGAAGTTCAACTTTAAGTAACTGTCAGATGATTTGCTCTTTCATATTTGTAGGGGTCGGGGGGATTTGTCATGTTCTGATGACTTGTTTAGTATGGGAAAACACTAGTCCAAGATAGCCTAGGCATAGTAATTAACAATAGATAATTGTTTGCCATTCAAACAACATTTTTCGTTATAGACAACAGATCCACCTCTTCTAAAGATAACTATGTTAACAGATATTTTTCCATTCATTTGTATACTGTTCAAAAATATTATAAATAGTATGATGGCTATGGTGGTTCTTGCAAATTGTGAAAGCCCATTTTGGCAAAAAATACCCATATAAGTTTCATTGTTAAAGTACAGCATAGGTTTATAATATGGCCAATGTTCTGACATTTGCTGTTTATTCACAAAATTGAAAGTGGTTGAATGGTGTTCATAATCTGGTTGTCATGGTTGTACTGAATGTAAAGTTATATCTTGCATATATATTCTTTCCAAATACGCCTTTGATAATTACAACATTTTGTGATAATGAAGAAATGTGTTCCTGACTTTGAATGAAACAATTCAATTAAATCATTAGTTTCACATTTATGCTCTTTGTCAAAAGCCTTTAACATAAAATACAAAGTTTTCAGATGATATATTACTGACTTCACCTTAGAATATATATTTGATGGTCACGCTCAAATGTATGTAATAGTATTATGTGACATTGTGTCAGGAGAGTCAAGGAAATTTCTTCATCACAAATATCAATGTTTTGGTTAATGTAACAATTAATGTTAATTAACAAATATTGTGTGTATTTATGATATGTGTGAAGGAAATATCTTAACAGGGTGGTTAGGACTGACTGAAAGGGAGGAAGGAGGCCAGTGTTTACACATAAATGGTCAGGGAAAAATCTATACTTGTCAGGGAAAAGTCAGGGAATTTTGGCCTGCCATGCCTGTGGGAACCCGGTGGTTGCTGAATACCATGGATGGAGACTGTCAGGACATGATCAGCCAGATATTGGTCATTGATAGTCCAGTTGCAAATTTAGGAACTGGAAGGGGAGGGTCATCACAGTGTGACTGTTACCCTGGAGTGCGTGCAGCCAACCTTGTCACTTTGGATTTCGCCCTTTCAAATGGTGCCTAACCTAACTCTTTTTTGTCTTCTTTTATCATTCCTCCCAAATGTAACTGCAAGACCTGTTGATATCATTAGTTGTAGTAGGATCTGTGGTATGTTGACAGTTATGTGTGACCCTTGTTCCCCTGCAGAAATATGAGGTAGACTTTTACATAGACCTGCACGCCCATTCCACTCTGATGAACGGCTTCATGTACGGCAACATCTACGAGGACATGGAGAGATATGAACGCCAGTCCGTATTCCCCAAGCTGCTGTGTGCCAATGCAGAGGACTTCTCCCTTGCCAACACAAACTTCAACAGGGATGCAGTAAAGGCAGGCACTGGCAGAAGGCAAGAATTGAGTCTTTAGAATATGTAGTACATTTACAAATGATGTGTTGAATAAGAATGAGCGTATATTTAGATTCTGGAAACACATTGATATTTGGACTTGAAGGAAAATGTCCTGATCTTCCCACCACTTGCCTGAATATACTTAATAGGCAAACAGTATAAAATAAGAGAATTCCCCTTGTGTGAAGTATATGTGTAGCATAGGCACATTGTTTTGGTGGGCCAGGTATATGACTATGGCCTGTTGAGACCTTCAGCTTCTTCTTGTTTCAGTTAGATAAGATGTGGTGTTACCACCTGGTGCCCATTTAGATACCTTCATTTCATTGGTGTTTCCGTTAGAATTTGTCCATTAAATCAATTTCAGCTACAGTTTCAACAGAAAAAGGGTTTTCCAATTTATGATCCCTTACTTTAAAAGCCATGTAATTAGAGATGCAGTGTTTTCATCTGCCATCAATTGAATTGTTACTGGTTCTCCCCGGTTTCATCTGAGATGGAGGAACATGACCTTTATCACTCCATGTCCCCAGGAGGGAGGAGGACAAAATTCAGAGAAATTTAAGATGACATCAACTCCCCTTTGAACACACAATTTATGTCAGTTGATACTGCTTCAGATTTGATAACCTTAGTCATCCCCATTGCAAGAAAATTCCCACTCAACTTGATAAGACTCATGTCATCCTATCAACTCATCTCACAACCCTGAATGACATGTTAATGGTCACATTGATGGCACATGTAAAATGTTGCAACCCGTCATGACACACTTTACTGATGCAACCCTTGATGAAATCTGTTGACTCACACAACCCCTGATGAAATCTGTTTACTCACACAACCCCTGATGAAATCTGTTTACTGACACAATACCTGATGAAATCTGTTTACTCACACAACCCCTGATGAAATCTGTTTTCTCACACAACCCCTGATTTACTCTCACAACCCCTGATGAAATCACACAACCCCTTGAAATCTGTTTACTCACACAATACCTGATGAAATCTGTTTACTCACACAACCCCTGATGCAATCTGTTTACTCACCTGATGAAATCTGTTTACTCACACAATACCTGATGAAATCTGTTTACTCACACAACCCCTGATGAAATCTGTTTACTCACACAATACCTGATGAAATCTGTTTACTCACACAACCCCTGATGAAATCTGTTTACTGACATAAAATCTGCTGAAATCTGTTTACTCACACAACCCCTGATGAAATCTGTTTACTCACACAACCCCTGATGAAATCTGTTTACTGACACAATACCTGATGAAATCTGTTTACTCTCACAACCCCTGATGAAATCTGTTTACTGACATAAAATCTGCTGAAAACTGTTTACTCACACAACCCCTGATGAAATCTGTTAACTCACACAACCCCTGACGGAATCTGTTTACTCACACAACCCCTGATGAAATCTCTTTACTCACACAACCCCTGATGAAATCTCTTTACTCACACAACCCCTGATGAAACACAACTGACACAACCCCTGATGAAATATGTTTCCTGAGACAACCTCTGATAAAGTATAGTTGTTGATACAACCCCTGCCTAAATCTGTTTACTGACACAACCCCTGTTAAAGAACATACCTGACACAAACTCTGATAAAGTATGTTTACTGATACAACCCCAGATGAAATCTGTTAGCTGACAGAACGTAACATATGTTATATCCCAAATATAACATATGTTACATTTGACCACTTTCTAAATGGCATTGTGTACTCATAACTGACAGAACCTCTGATGGAATGTTTCTAGCCTCAGCCTCTGAAAATGACCCTCACACAATGGTGTTGTTTGACTCTGTTGTTTCATTGTTATATTGTGAAGCATATTTGTACACTGCATGTTTCATCACAGAGGTACAGCCCTCTTCAGCCCGCCTGAGGTGATGGAGAGCAGCCAGAAGGCGGACTAGTTACAACCATTACGATACCTTTGACATGAGTCAAACTCTCAAACTACCCAAACAGTTGAAACCTGGTTCACTTTTAAAAATACAGCAGTTGCCAAACACTTTCTTCAACGAAGCATGTCAGGGACTGGAGTCAGTTTTCAAATTCCTTTTCTTGCAAGAACATCACATACCCAATGGATTCTTACTGGTTGTTTGTACTCAGCCCAAAGAAATGTGTATTTATCTCGAACAGGATTTAATGGCTTGCTAGTCTTTTCAAATAATTACCATGAATGTCATAAACAGCTGGTTCAAACCTGTTAAAAAGAAAGAGGCTTCATCTCTAAGCTAGCTTCAGTTAGAAACCACATGAAAACCTTTAAAAGCAGTCATTATGTCATTATCAAGGATTGACGGTATAAGCCATGTTCAACTATATTGGTACTACAGAAATTGACAAGCTAGATAGCGTCAACAAATTATGTTCATTGATATTTATTGGATCCTTACATAACTTGGTATTTGCATGAAGAATGTTGATATTTTCACTGACTAGAAATGACAATTACCTCCGGTGCAAGGATTCTCCAAGGGAGACGGGCTTAACCTCTGTTATTTATACATAACGTGTTGTCATTCCTCAGGGAAATATACTAATTAATGATCAGATGGGGTGATATTTACATTTACCCATTTTCATATTGCTATTCATCTTCGGTTGTGCGTCAGTTTTTGCATCGATGGACTTCAGCTGGTATCAGATCTTACTGAAACAGCAGCCCCTTTTCCCGGTTTCTTTGTGCGTGATTGATGAATTAGGTAACACAGAAATGAGTGATAGCTATGTACAAGTGAAAATGACATGATTAAAAATGGCAGTATTGGTTTTTCTGAGTATCATTAATCACTTGAAGATGCAGATCAGTAACACTGTAAATGTTAAATAATGAGCCATTCTAAATAATGAAGAATACATCTTCACTACCTCACTAAGAAAGAAAGTCTTTCTGGTGTAGAATAGCTGGTTTGTTATGTGAAATTGATACTTGTTTTATTCATTCTTTTTCCATACAGAAATAAACCTTTGTCGTGAATTGTGATTCCACCATTTGTTATTTTGATGAATGATACAAGTAGATCTTAGCTCAGCAGCCCTGTTTGTTTTAAGCATGCAAAATAATCAGTTGATCGTGAAACCTGTATGCATGCAGGGCTTGTAATAGTTGATTGACAATCATTATAGTGAGTGCAGTACATGATCTATGGCTGGTGGGGAAAACATGCTGCTGACGGTTTCTGTGCAGGATAAAAGCTGGAAGAAATGGGGACTTGTGAGGATGCACTCTTCTTGAACAAAGGAGGTTGATGGCTAAGGATGTTGACACTTTCGCATGTACTGTAACAATTCATAAGTAGTACTTGTGCCATTATCAGAATGTAGTGAATTTTATGAGCTTAATCACCTTTCTCTACCTAGGACTGTTCTTTGCCAAATCCTGCACAGCCACAAACAACCAATTCAACATTGCAAGATTTCTTTTTGTAGAGTATATATATGCAGTTTGAATTATTGTTGTGGCTCTGGTTGTCAGAATACAAACAGTCAATTGTGACATTGACAATTTCAGTCTGTGACACAATTTGAAATGGATGACAAGGTGAGATTATATTTTGCATATTGTGCATGTGCTCAATTATGAAACAGTCTGAAGAATAGCCATTAAACTCAGAAAAATAAATTGCACAACTTGGTTTTCTTGAAAATATGGATTTAAAAAGCGGAATGTCAGAGAATGGAAAACTAGCAATTTCATGTTGAGTAAGATTGAAATAAACAAGCCCTTGTCCTTTTCACTATGTACATATTCATGACGTTGTGATTACCGCAGGAATAAAAACTTCATCTATTATTTTCAAACTGTGTTTCAGTCAGCTGATCTATCAAAATAAATCTTATTTGATCGCGGTTTACGTGGATCGACATCATCGTTATTGTTTGTGAAATTACACTGCCATATTGTGAAGATTATTAATCAAACTTTTGGCAGATTCCATTGAACAATATGTCTAATCAGATACAGGAACATAAATAATATTCCCTCAAAGTCAGTTTGGAACCGGCAAACGAGAAAAGTGTAGAACGATATTGATTAAGCCATTTCATATTGTCCAACAACTTGAAATGAGATTGTTTGAATAATGAACCTTAATCAGTAGGGACAACAGTGGTATGTAAAAGTATATTGTCTCTATACAATTTTTTATAGCTTCACCATGTAATGATATTGATTAAGTGTCCAAATTATAAGCCAACAGTGACTGAATCGGACTGTGTGTAGAAATAAACCTTGATCTATGACAAACTTCCTTGCCTTTCTTGTGGCGACGTTCTTGCAGCCACACACAAACCTGCTATAACTCAACTGTGTTGTGAGAGCCGAGTCGTTAACAAGTAGAAAAAGCCCAGATTAAATTGTGTAACTTCAATCAGTTACAATATCTATGTAAATAAGTAAATGGGCAGGCTTGAAGCATCTTGATAGATTGTATCTTGTTAATGACGTCCAAATGACTTTTTACACGTGAAAAAAGCATTTTAATCAAGTACACTGGTTTAGATCAAATGAAACCGCTATGGATTCCATGGCTGTGTTTTGGGGTTGACACAGGAGATTGTGATTGCTGTGCATAGCATTCAGAGATATCCTGCACGATGCCAGAAAGAAGTCAAAACTCAGTCCGTAATTACCGTTGATGCTTTTGTTAGCTTTCTGAAATTCTTGGAACTCCTTGGTTGGTGTTTGTCTGTGATAATGGTATGCATCATTTGTAACCCTTTTTGTTTATCGAAATACAAACTTTAATGTTTTGGGGAGGCTCGAATTATGTGGGAGTATTTCAAAGATGAGCATGATGGAGATTGTGATTTCAATGCATGAAGATACTGATTGATGCGGGATCTGTGGCATCAAGGTCTGCTTCATTATCATGTGATTGACATTTTGGCACCATACAGATTCAAGAATTGGAACCTTTGAATCTGCTTTTGACAAGAATCTGCCAACTTTTA